AATTCTACAACTGGATTCTCATCTGGATCTTAAGGGGAATGTTTCCATATATGCTTCTACACATCGCTGTTAGGTTGCTTTGCCGGGATAATTCGACAACATGGACTTTCTTGTCGTCGACGCTGCGAACAGCTTAGCGGGCATTGGACGCGGCGCACATCGCGCGCGGACGCTTGGCCAACCCTACGCGGCCCCCCCCGTCCTACCTGCCAAAAACACTGCAACTTCGACGTTTTTCTTGCCAACATGCACTTTGTCCTCGCCGGCGATGCGAATCGCGTAGCGGAAATGGGACGCCCCGCGAATTCCCAAGAGGCATTCTCCTCTTCCTCCCAAGTTTCTCGCTCCCTCCCTCTCTCCCTCCCCTCCCCTCTTCCTCCTCCTCCTCCTCCTCCTCCTCCTCCTCCTCCTCCTCCTCCTCCTCCTCCTCCTCTCCCCCCTCTTCCATGCGCGGCAGGAGCGAAACGATTGGCGGTGCAACACGCGTGGCTGGAAGGAGACGCGGCGCACTTCGCGCGCTGGACATGTTGTCACCGACGATGCAATATGAGAGGCCGGAGCGGGGCGCGGCGTACATCGCGCGCGGTTTTGTTTCTCGTCGACGTTGCTCAATACGCGGCAGAAATAGGACGCAACTCATGCCGCGCGCTGAACGTCTAGCCGCCCACGGTATAAGATGAACGACAGGCGTCGGACGCGACGCACATGTTTTTTATGTTGTGGGTGGGCGGGTGGGAGTGGACGGAACCCTCTGGCTCGTTCGAGCTGGCTTACTTGACCCCACCCCCACCCCCACCCCCCGCCACTGCCGCCGCCCCCGCCCCCGCCCCCGCTCACGGTGTCATCGTTGCGATCCTTTTGTGCCCGCCGGGTTGCTGCGGCACGTGGAATTTAGGCGGGGCGTATTAACTCGTGCTGACCAGGAGGGAGCGTCGCTGGTCCCAGTTCCGTTGTCGTCGTTGTTGCCATCCTCTGGTGTGATGGCTCGGCCGAGGCTGCAGCGCACCCGTGCGGCAAACGGCACGGTTACGGGCGCACCCGTCCTTCCCTTCTCCCCTCTCCCTCCGCCTTCCTTCCTTCCCCGTGCCTACTCCCCATGTTGGCTCAATGGTATGCGCGCTCTCGCCCACCCGTGCGCACACATGCTCAGGCGAACCCTTTTGCGGTGTCACGCGAAGGGGTGCTTCCCCATCGCGCCACCCGGAACGGGCAAGCACACCTTCCACGTCACAGCGGGCAACACACCGCGGCGGCAATCACGCGCGCCTGCTTGGCCGTGTCGTGGGACATGGTTCGCGTTTGTGCGTTGTGACGCCTGATGGCTACGGCTGGGTGTGTTTAGTTCCGGAAAAAGGGGTTTGCCCTGGTGGTTGGGAGTTCTGAGGGGCCGCGGGTCGGTGCGGAGTTGTGTGGTTGGTCGGTATGGTGAGGTGGCCGCACAGTGGACCGTGTCCCACCCGCGCACCTTCCCCAGCCACCGTCACTGGCATGTTTCGCTCTGAAAACAGCCTGGCGTGAGCCTGGTGCGAGGATATGTCGGTCCCGCTTGTGGCGGGCAACGAACGAACGAACATACACACACACGCACACACACGCACACACATACACACATACATACACACCTACATACATACATACATACATACATACATACATACATACATACATACATACATACATACATACATACACACATACACACATAGACACACCACACACACGCACACATACGTGCACACACACACGCACACACATACACACATACATACACGCATGCATACTACACACACCTACGCACTTCGATACATACATATATACATATACAAATACATGTACACATACATAGACACCTATATGTACCTATACATATACGTAAACATACACATATACATATACACATACATATGTATACATATATGCATGTACATGTACATATACATATACATACACATATGCATGTACACGAACGTACACACACATACACGTATGCATGTACATATACACGAGCACATACGCGTACACATACATACAGCCATATACATACACAGCTACATGTAGGCATAATATACATATACATATCCATATACATATACATGTTCATTTACATGTACATCTACATATTCATATACATATACATAGACTTTATACATATACAGTTGCATTTGCATTTTCATATGCACATCCATAAACATATACATACACATATACATATACATGTACATATACATATACATACACACATGCACACGCACACACAAACTCGCACACGCACACGCACACAATCCACACAGCGCACAACACACAACACACAACACGCAACACGCAGCACACCCCACGCAGCACACAAGACACAACATACAACACACACACAATACAGCGCACAACACACAACACAACACACAACAGGCACGCACACACACACCGTTCATCTGGTGGAGGGAATTGTCCTCACCAGGGTTCGCCAGAGGGGATTAGCCGCGAGGGTTGGCCAGGTTGTTGGGGGTTGGCCGGGAGGGCTGGCCGGGCTTATGGTTGCAGGGGAAGTTTGCACCGCCACGAAGTATATACGAACCTTTCCAATTGGAAACGATAGTGCCAAATCTCTGCCCTGATTCTCCGCGAAATCTAGTCCCTGTCATCTTCCTCCTCTTCGTCCTTCACTCTGGCGGCTTCCTATTTCATCGTCGTCCTCCTCTTGTTTATCTTCCCTACCACCCTCAATCTTCTACTCCCTTACAATCCTTCTCGTACTCTTTCCTCCCTCGCGCCCTGTGCGTCTGTGAGGGTACGGGGCTTGTGCGTGGCAGGTTCGGGCTTTCGCGGCGCGCGGTTCTAACGACGATGCCCCAACTGTTTGCCCAGAGCTTTGTGCGCAGGCTTCACACAAGTTGCACAATGGATTTGGGTCCAAGTGCTGGCATCATGTCGTATCTGCGCCACGTTGGCGTGCCCGAGCCTCCACGCAGCTGCTGCGACACATCCCCGCGGAGGCAAACGGATGCGGCGATGGAGGATGATGAGGAAAGGGGAGGACAGGAGAGGAGAGGAAGAAGAGGAGGAGGAGGAGGAGAAAAAAAAGGGGGCCAGGACGAGGAGGAGGATAAAAAGGAGGAGTTCAAGGACGGGGAGGAAGGAGGCAAGCGACGGAGGGAGCTCACGAGGAGGGAGGAGGGAGGAGGGAGGTAAGGAGCGGATGGGGTTGTTCGAGCGTGCCTGCCCGCGCACGGCGCATTTCGCTGAGCCAGCGCGTTTTGCAAGGATTTTGCCAAGCAGCTCATTCGAAGTGTGCTGGCTTGCGTTCGGCGGTCATCCTATTGCCAGTGGTGCTTCCAGGACGCCAGGAAGCTCAGCACGAGTGCGTGGGCTCGCCTTCAGCGCGCAGAGTGCAGTGCGAACTTGTTTCACTCGATGCACCTCCATGTGTACGTCCAGTGCCTCTCTCCCTTCCGGTGTCATTCCAGTGCCCCGCCCGCGAGTTTCGTGAACGTGCTGGTCTGTTTCCATTGCACTTCGCGGTGCCAGCGTTGCTGCCAGGACGCGCACTCCAAGCGTGCTGGCTCGCAGGAGCCGCGCGTCGAATTTCCACTGCTGCCGGCAGGAAGCTCACTCCGAGCGTGCACTTCGCACGGCCGGCACTCCTGCCGAAGACTGTGCCAAGCAGCTCACTGCAAGGGTGCCTGCATTAGTGCCCGCTCGAACGTGCTGATCGTGACGCTGCCAGCGCCGATGCCAGGAAAACGCGCTCCAATCGTGGCGCTTCGCGGGCACCGCACACCGCACGGCCAACGCTGCCGGCAGGAAGCTCTCTCTGAACGCGCCGGCTCGCACATGGCGCACGTCGCCTCACCGGCATGTCTGCCAAGACTTCAAGATGCTCACTCGATTCGTGCCCGCTCGCACGCGATGGTCATCGCGCTGCCCGCGGTGATATATCCCAGGAATATCAGTCCGAGCGTTGGGTTGGCCAGGGTTGGTCGGAGGGCTGGCGACGGCAATTTCTAGACAAGAACTCTGTTCCAGAAGGTATCAGACCTGAGATCCTGGCAGTGCAATTACTGTTCGCAACGGGCGTTTTCGCCCGGTCTTGGGGCTGGGGATCTTCAGATCGATCCGGCTCGAAAGGTGACTCAGAAATCTCGGTTCCGCCTTGCTGCAGCGTCAGATTTGAGTTTTGAGTGTGCACCGATACCGCCCAGGCCGAACTTGCATCGGGGGTTGCAACAAAATTTGGGAAATGAAGAACGACATAAATATAAAAACTCGGAGGTCCGCGCGGATTTCTCGGATCGGCGCTCGGGCCCGCGCCTCCGGTGCCGCCCCTGGCGCGCTCCGCGCGCCAGGGAGGGGGATCGAGCGCCGTTCCGAGAAATCCGCGCGGACCTCCGAGTTTTTCTGTTTATGCCACTTTTTGTTCCCCTAAAAGCGCCACTGGCCCAAGGTGCCCCCGGCTTCTCGCCACATCTTGAAGCCCCCCCCGGGGCACCCTGGGCCTTGTGATGGGGTGCTCTGGAGGCCGCGCGGGCCTCGGCATGCGGCCGCGTGAGGTCGCTGTGCCGTGTCGCGGCAGACCCGTTTCGGATCGTCGCCCAGCCTTCAGTCGGGCCTGTCCCTCTACACGAGGAATACCCAAAAATGGTAACACGATAGTCTCTGGGGGGGGGGCGGCGATTTTCGGAGCATATTTCTGGCAAGTTTGAACAGTATTTGTGGGGCATGCTTGCGTTTGCAACTTAAAGTCCCCCTGCAGGGGGACGCGCCCGACTTGGGCCCAGCTTGCCACGCCGGGGTCTCGGGGCATCCGGCGCCCTCCCGCGGCGAGGGGCCGCGTGCCCCTCGCCGCGGGAGGGGCCCCGTGCGAGGGGCGAGTGCGCCTCGCCGCGCGAGGGCGCCGCGGGAGGGGCCCCTCGCTGGCTGGCGGCCCCTCGCGGCGAGGGGCACGCGGCCCCTCGCGGCGAGGGGCCCCTCGCGGCGAGGGGCCCCTCGCGCGGCCCCCGCCCGAGGCGGCGCCCGGGGCGGCGCCCGCGGCGCACCCGTGGGCCCTCCTCGAGGACGCGGCGGTGCCCCGGGACCGCTTCTTCGGCCTCGGCCGGCCGGCGGCGCAGCGGCAGGCGTGGCAGCCGCAGGCGCCCGTGAGGAGCGAAAGGGGTTTCGTATCTGCAGAGCGTCTCTCCTCCTCCTCCTCCTCCTCCTCCTCCTCCTTCTCCTCCTCCTCCTCCTCCTCCTCCTCCTCCTCCTCCTCTCCTCCTCCATTGGTTCTGCACGAACGAGATGGGCACGGAAAGAATAGGTACAATGCTCCACAGCAGTCCCTGTTCATTTTGAGCAGGGTTCGCTGTCCGCGCCGCCGCGGCCTGTGTCCATTCGAGACAGAAGGCCGCCTGCCCAACAGCGGCCGCTGTTGGTTTGGGACAACATTTGTTGTTGGGCATCGTGCCCATTTTTTCCGTCCCCATTTCGGGCGTCCAAAATAACGTCATCATAGGATCGTTTCACCTTTAGTTGAGCGTTCCAGCGGCCCCCGATTTGGAGGCTGCCGCCCGCCGTATTCAGCGCGAGCGTGCGCAGGTCATCGGCCACGCGGCGGGGACAAAAAACAAGAAAGAAGGAAGGACGTACACGTACATGAATCCACGTTGGTTTCGGGAGTGCGCTTAGGTCGGGCCTGTCCCTCCACAGGAGGAGTACTCAAGAGTAGTCAAAGCATAGTCTGGGGACGATATTCTTAATTCTTCGCCCAAAAGCCCCCTGTAGGGGGTCGACAGGCCCGACCTAAACGTACACGCACATGAACCCACGTTGGTTTCGGGAGTACGCATTGTGCGAACGTTCGTACCACGCGGCGGCTGGTTTCGCGGATTGGGGGGCCGTGTTCATGTATGTGGCTGGGCGCGTACGTCCTTCGTGCGTTCCTCCGTCAGGGGCAGCGGTCCGCCACGGGGGAAACAGGTCCCGAGGGAAGCGGGTCCCGAGGCTTCTCGCCGCCTTCGGGCCCTCGGGCCCCCCCGCGGGCGCCAGGACTGTGAGAAAACGACGCAGGACTCAGCATGAGGATCTCGTCCGGGGGGAAGGCCCCAGGGTCCAGGACCCGTGTCCTGCAGGACCCGCTTCCCCCATGCTGACAGCCGCAGCCGTCAGGGGCAACGATAGGGGGGGCTCGGCTCAGGGGGGGAGACATCGAGCTGGGATCAACAATGCATCGCCGATGGATCGGCGACAGGCATCCAGTAGCGAATCCGCACGTCCCGGGGCGGGGCGGGCTATCAGGCCGCCGATCGGCGATGCAACGCCGATTCCAGCTCGATGTCCTCTCCCCCGAGTCTACCCTCAGCCACGCGCAGAGGGGGGCAGGCTTCTTGGACGCACCCCTGCTCCTCGGAAGGCGGTGGCCCTCTGTCTGTACACAGGCGCAGGGTTGGCGCCCTCTGAGAGGCGCCCCCCTCCTGCGAAGCCTTCCCCCCCTCCACCCGTACAGCCCCCCTGTGCGCGCCGCCAACTCGAGGCGGAGCAGCCCGCCGCGGTGCACCAGCCGCACGGGCCGCCGCCCGGCGGCGCCGCCGCGGCCAGACGGGGCAGCTCCGCGCCTGGGGGCACCAGGCCCTCCTGCCCACGATCCGCTGCGGTGCAGCTCGCCTCGGCGCTCGGTGCGAGTCACCAGGGTCGGCCCTGAGCCCCTGGCATCGCTCGGACGTGGCCATGTTTGTTCGGCATGGGCCGTCGAGGAGGATCTGGGGCCATCCTGCGAGGCATGGGCCGTCGAAGGCGAAACATGCGCGGGGAGCGGACGTCCGAGCAGTGGCGAGAGGCGCGCCGATTGCAAGTTCGATTCGGTCCGGGGCGATTCGCAAGCGACCCGGGCCAGTTCCGACGCCACCCTTAAGTCGGGCCTGTCCCTCTACAGGGGGATTTTCGACGAAAAATAAAACATACCCCAAAAATAATAAAAAATGGAAAAAATAATCTGGGGACTATTTTTTGAGTATTTTTTTGCCTCTGGGGATATTTTCGGGGTATTTTTTATTTTTCGTCGAAAATCCCCCTGTAGGGGGACAGGCCCGTCGGCCCAGCTCAGGCCCGTCTACGCCAACTCGAGCCACGGGGCGGCGGCCGCGCTGAGGTGGGACCACTGAGCGCCCCCGGGGGTCTCCCGCGGGTGCGGCGCGAGTGGTCCGGAAAGGCCCTCGGCGGAGACCCGACCCGGGAGGAGGAGGAGGAGGAGGAGGAGGAGGAGGAGGAGGAGGAGGAGGAGGAGGAGGAGGAGGAGGAGGAGGAGGCGGGGGAGGCGGAGCAAAGGAGGAGAAAGCGGAGGGTTAGGGTGCCAAAGGGTACAGAGAGTGTCGGTTTTGCGGCAACGGATTTTCCTCGATAAGGGGCTGCCATTGGTGCTTGCAGGCGCCACAGAAAGCAATGGCATGCAGCTGATGGCCTCCCCCCCTTGCACGCTTTGACTCTCCCCCCCGCTCGTCCACCCCGAGAGTAGGATGTGAGAGGAGAAGATAGTTTCGAGTCTTGCCGGCTCGTCGTCGTTGTCGTCGTCGTCGCCGTCGTCGTCGTCGTCGTCGTCGTCCGCCTTTGTCGTCCGCCGTACTTGCCGCGTCGCGGTCGTTGTGGTCGTGGCTGCCGTGGCCATCGCCGTCGCCGTCCCGCCCCACGCAGCTTGGGCTCGAGCTGCCGCTGGCCCCGTGGCAGCGTGCGACTTGCTGGCCTGGCCCCAGCACGAAGGGCGAGGCAGGACGGGCGGCGTTTCCAGAGGCCGAGGACGGGGTTGTGACAGGGTGGCCTGGGACGCGCGCAATTCAGTCAGAGGTGGACAAGGCACCACGGCACCACGGTCGGATTCGCCTTTCCTTTGCAACTTCCCACAGCACCTGTCACCATGGCACCACGACACCGCGGCCCTTTCCACCACGGCCACAGTCTCCTCGAAATCCTGGTCAGAACGCACCCCAGGAGAGGGCCGTGGACTAGCGGACTTGTTTCTGCAATCAGCACCTCTCATCATTCACCCCTCGCAGCGCAGTGGGCCCTGGAGAGCTCAGAACCCAGCGGCTCACACGGCCCCCCGCCTCGACGTCGTCCATGCGGGGGGGGAGGAGGGCAGAGAGCTCGGAATCCCCCGAGGGAGCTCGCGACGTTGTTCGAGGGGCGGCCCTGGACCTTGCAGCGGGCCCCCCGCTCGGTGGAACCAGGCAGGACTCGCGCCTCGTTACCTCGTCGACTGCCAGCCGCAAAGTCCTGGCTTCCAGGAGGGGGCCCCAGGAGGCTCCAAGAGACCCCCCAGGACCGCCTCGAGGGGCCCCAGGCAGCCCAAGAGCGCCTCATGGCCACAGGGCTGCAGAGGAGGGCCCCAGGAGGGTCCCAGGAGGGCCCGAGCGGGTCCGACGCTTCGCGTGCTCGGGGAGGCACTGCACACCCCACGGCGCCCGCTGCCCTCGGTCCCTGGACTCTCTTGGAGCCGGAGGCGGCGCGATGCCGTTCAGCGGGTCGCGCTCGGCGGACCCCTCGACTCTGTCGGAGCCGCTGGGGCCGGGCCGCGCGCGCGTGACGCACTACAAGCTGGAGCTCACCGTCGACTTTGTGGGGCAGCGCCTGCTCGGCCACGCGGACCTGCGCTGCCTGCGCAACAGCGAGGGGCCCGAGGGCGGCGAGGCCAGCCGAGTCCGCAAGCTCCCTGTGCAGCTTGTCCGTAAAAGCTCGGCCCACTGCCCCTATAAGGAACAAGCAGGTGCGTTGCCCGATCTGGAGTCGGTCGGGCGACGTGAGTTCCATGTGACTCCTGTTGTTTCCCTGCGAAGCATCGGCTCATCGACGTCAGTCTCGGCCAGTTTCTCGAGCTGCGTCCAGCCCGTGGCCACGAGAGGGCGCCCCCGAAGCCCCACGCAACAGACGAGCTAGAAGCCCGATCCGCGTGCAACGAGAAGCCCGCTCCGAGGCCTGGGAGCTCGTCCTGGACGCCGCCGCGAACCTGGAGGTCTCCGCGGCCCACGTCATCGGCGGCGCGGCCCTTGAGCCGTGCGAGTGGTCGCGCGACCAGGCGAAGCTCAGCGAGGCCCTGGGGCTGCCGCTGCGTGTACGGCTCCCCGAGGGGCCTCCCGGCGGCGAGGTCGTGGTGCGCGTTGCGTACGCGACCGCCGCGCCAGGCGCAGGCGGCGAGGGGGGCTGCTCGGCGCTGCAGTGGCTAAGCCCGGCGCAGACCGCGGGGAAGAGATTCCCGTACATGTTCTCGCAGTGCCAGGCCATCCACGCGCGCGCCATGCTGCCGTGCCAGGACACCTGCGAGTGCAAGGCCACCTACGAGGCCTCCGTGCGCTGCCCCGCGGAGCTCACCGCGCTGATGTCCGCGGTGAAGCTGGGCGACCCCGCGCCCGCGGAGGAGCCGGACTGGGAGACCCCGGAGGGCTGCGGCAAGGGGTGGCAGTGGCACCGCTTCGAGCAGACAGTGCCGATCCCGCCCTACCTGGTGGCCGTGGTGTGCGGGGCCCTCAGCAGCAGGCAGGTGGGGCCGCGCACGCGCGTGTGGAGCGAGGAGGAGATGGTGGACCGGTGCGCGTGGGAGTTCGCGGACACGGAGAAGTTCGTGGCCGCCGGGGAGCGGCTCGCCGGGGAGTACAAGTGGGGCGTCTACGACCTGCTGGTGCTGCCCCCCAGCTTCCCCTACGGCGGCATGGAGAACCCGTGCCTGACGTTCGTGACTCCGACGCTGCTTGCGGGTGACCGGTCGCAGGTGCACGTGGTGGCCCACGAGGTTCGGAGGCAATCTTCAGGGGGGGGTATGGGGTCGTGGGGCCGTGGGGAGGGACGCATCGACTCCGATTCATCGCCCACTGATCGCCGACAGGGGCCCGATGGCCGACCCCGCCCAGAAACGTGTTGATTCGCTGTCGGGGGCCTGTCGGCAGCGTGTCGCCGATTCAAGCTCGATCGATGCTTCCCGCACCGAGCTAGTCCCCCCCCCCCCCGATCGTTCCCCAGCCGAGGTGTCCCACTCCTGGAGCGGGAATCTGGTTACCAACGAGACCTGGGAGCACTTCTGGCTCAACGAGGGGCTCACCGTCTTCCTGGAGCTGAAGATCATACGGGACGTGTACGGCGAGGAGGAGGCGACGCTGCAGCTCGCTGGGAGACTGAAGTCCCTGGCGGAGAGCGTGAACCATTTCGGGCCAGAGCACAACTACACCTGCCTCATCCCCGACCTGTCCGGCGGGGGCGACCCAGACGACGCCTTCTCGACCGTGCCGTACATCAAGGGCATGTCGCTCTTCTGCCTTCTCGAGAAGCTGGTCGGTGGCGAGGAAAAGTTCCAGCCCTTTCTGCGCAGGTACTTCGAGCACTTCGGCGGCAGGACGGTGTCCTCCCAGAGCATGCGCGACTTCTTCCTGGAGCACTTCCGTGCCCTGTCGGCCGGCGACGAGGCCGTTGCCGCTGCGATGGCCGGCCCGATCGCCGCTCTGGACTGGGAGATTGGACGCCCGCAATGGGTACGGCAAAAATGGGCACAGTGCCCAACCGCATTTGATGTCCCAAACCGACAGCGGCCGCTGTGGGGCAGGCGGCCTTCTGTCTCAAATGGGCAACGTCCGCGGCGACACCGACAGCGAGTCCTGTTCAAAATGAGCTGCAGGAGATGCCGTCGGCCTCTGTACCCAGACCCACGACGTCGTGTTTTTTTCAACGTCGACCCCCAGAGGCCGGGATCCTTTCCCCAGGACAGTTTTTCCATCCTGAGTCAAATTCTGACCGGTCCCGAGGCCTGGTGAGGGCCCCCGGAAGCAGCACGAAGCGAAACACCTTCTGTCGTGTTTTTGTTCGCGACGTGAGGAGGTCTGGGTCCTAATGGTTTTCCGTGCCCCTGCACCCCGGGCCCCACCCTCTCGGGCCGCCTGAGGCCCCGCCCGCCTGTGCCCTGTCTCCCCAATTAGAGCTGTGCGTACTTCGCCTAGCTTTTATCGGAAGAGGTTCGCTTTCGCCCCGCCGACCAACACATGTTTTTCCGTGCCCAGTTCGCTCGTCCCAAGGAGAGGCTCTGGCGGGCGCCTGGCATGCCCGACTTCGTGCCCCCCTGCGAGGCGGCGCCGGTGCAGGAGGCGCAGGCCCTGGCGGCGCGGTGGGCCGCCGTCGCCGCGGGCGACGCGGCCGGGCTCGCTGCCTTCGGGCCAGACGACATCAGGCCGCCCTGTGGAGCAGACAGTGGCGAGGCGTCCTGGCTCGCCTACAGCCCTACCAAACAATGTTCTGAGAACCATTTGTGGTTTCCACGACGTGTTCTTAGAACATTTCTGGCGGAGATTGTCTTGTCTGAGCACATCGGGTTTATGTTCTAAGAACATTGTTATGGTTCTTAGAACATTTTGGGTTCTAAGAACATTTCGTGGTAGGACTATAGGAATGCCAGGACGGTCGGTCCCTGCTCAAGTGGAGCAAGCCCAGATCTCGAGCGTTGGCAGAAGTGCCCCCATGGCCCAGCCCAAGGTTCTATAGGCCTCTCGGATGGGGTCCGCGCAGATGGGGTCGGAGGATCGCGCCGCATCGCCGACGCATCGCCGATGCGACTCGACGTGGAGCCCGAGTTTCTCCACGGCGACGGCGCTGGTGCATCGCCGAGGAATCGGCCACGTACCGCCCATGTATCGCCGATGCGGCGCGATCCTCGGACCCAATCTATCCAGACCCAATCTAGGAGGCCTCTAGAGTCTTCTAGAGGTGCCCCCCGGGATTTCCAAGGAGGCCCCCACAGCCTCCAGAGCACCCTTCACGATGCCCAGGCGGCCCAAGGCCTCGAAAATGGAGGCGAAAAGCTGGGGGCACCTTTGGCCAGGGACACTTCTAGCAATACCCGAAGATCTCCGACGATATTCCAAGCTTCCCACATAGGGTCGCAGCAGATGGGGTCGGAGGATCGCGCCGCATCGCCGATGCATCGGCGATGCGGCGCGATGCGGAGCCCGAGTTTCTCCACGCCGACGTCGCCGATGCATCGGCAACGTCGCCTGTTTATCGCAGAGGCATCGCCGATGCATTGGCGGTGCTCGGACCCCATTTACTCCGACTCCATTTGGAAGGCCCCCAGACCTCCGACGATACGGCTTTCCCAATCCTGGCAATGCTTGCTCTCGATTTCGGCTTCTCGGGCCTGTTATCGGGCACCGGGACCATCAAAAATTAGATCCGGGGCGAAACATTGGCCTCGGGGCAGGGTTCGGGACCTCCGGGGCCGCGGATGCCTGGGATCGGGTCGTGAGGGTCTGGCCGTTTCCGACCGTCAAATGAACGACTCAGGATGACGAGCTGGTCCCTGGGGGGAGGCGCCAGTTTTAAGACGGGCATAGTCAAAAAAACATTGGGGACTATGTTGTGAGTATTTTGGGGCATCTTTTGGGCATTTTTTGACGATTTCTTATTTTTCGTCCAAAATCCCCGTGTAGGGGGACAGGCCCGACCCAATGCCAGGGTCCAGAACCCGTTTCTCTTGGAACCCTTCTTCGGGCGTTTCCCACAGCCTTCCCGACCGCTTTCAGAGCTTCCCGGAGCGGTTCGGAGCGGCCGCGGCGCCTGATAGATCTTCCAGAGCCGCCGGACCTCGGAGATCCCCGCTCTGTCCTGGCCTCGTCTTGCGCTCCTTGCTGCCACGTCAGGGGCTGGAGCACCACCAAGCTGATCGTCTTCCTGGACGCGCTGCTCCAGGACAGCGAGGACGGTGGCGGGAGCCTCGCCGCCGCTGGCTGCGCCCGGATGGCGGAGGCCTACGACTTCCTGGGCTCCAACTGCGAGCTGCGCTTCCGCTTCCTGCGCCTGGCCCTGGGGGCGAGGCTCGGAGGGCGACAGGGCACGCTCCGAGGAGGGACCAGGCACCCAGACATGCGGCGCCCTGACTTTTTTTCAGGACGGCGTCCCCGGAAGCCCCGACCCCTTCCCCTGGGGCCGGCCTTTTGTATCCCGAGCCGTTTCGTTGACGGTCCCGGGGCCCGGCGAGGCGAGGGTCTCGAGAGGCCGAAGGCGAAGAAAACCCTTCGGCCTGAGAGTTTCACGACGCGCCCCTGTCTGGGTACCCACACCCCTCCCCTCACCTCGTCACCACGGTTAAGTCGGGCCTGTCCCCCTACAGGGGGATGTTCGACGAAAAATGAAAAAGACCCCAAGAATAATAAGAAACACTGTCCAAAAATAGTCTGGGGACTATCTGTGGGGTACTTGTCGATCCTTTTGGGGTCTTTTGGGGTATTTTCTATTCTTCGTCGAAAACCCCCCTGTATGGGGGGACACGCCCGACATAACACCACGGCAGGATCCGCCTCGGCATCCTGGTCGCGACGCGTCCCGGAGAGCAGCGGCGTCGGTGCCTCGTCGCGCCCCTCCTGGCCTCCACGCACGGGCGCCGCGGCCCTCCCCGTCGCGGTCCTCCTGCGGGGGCCCACAGGGGGGCCTGCCTCGGGCCCCCCGGGGCCGTGAGGCATCGATCCTCGGTTTCTGATGCTCCAGCCTACTCTTAGCCCCGGTCACCAGAGAAGAAGCTCGAGCACCAAGAGAGCACCGAAGCTCGAGGGTTTTTGCACGTGTCGGGCCCGGGGAGACACTCGCCCGACACTGTGTCGACACTGTGTCGACGCTTTTCCGGGTGCTCGAAATTATTTTCGGGGTGTGGTCCTTAAGTACGATGGGAGCAACATAATCCTTGGTGAGACATTGGCCAGGGTGGACCCGGTGGTCGGCGTCACCCCATCAGGCGAATACTACTCGTGCGTCGCCCCCCAATGGGCGTCGCGCGCGCCGAGAAGTCTTGTAGTCCAAGCTCCGTAGCAGACGCTTTCTGGCCGTACCGCTCGGGCCTTCGGCGTCCCATCTGGGAGGGGTCCGAGGACCGATTTTGAACGGATTTCCAGGTCTGGATTCAAGGATCGAGGAAGGTATGCCAATGCCGGTACCTTCCTGTCGTTTTCGCCTTTCTGGGCCTCCCGGGGGGGCCCTTTTTCTTGGGGACTCTTGGAGTTCGAGTTTCCTCTCCGGGAGCACCCTTCTCGCGCGCTGGAGCGGCCGGCGGGGGGAAGCAGTCGGCCCCGAACTCGAGGCAGAAGCGGACCAACTACACGAGATGGGGCGGGGCCGCCATGCGTGTGACGGGTGTGCCGAAATGGGGCGGCGGTGCCATGCGAACCCTTCCATTGGGGCCTACGAAACGTGTGAGGGGTGTGCCGAAATGGGGCGGCGGTGCCACACGAACCCTCCCAACGGGGCCTCAGGTGGAGCTTTCTATGGGGCCACGAACCGTGTGACGGTGTGCCAAAACGGGGAGGCGGTATTATGCGAACCACTTAGTTGGAGCTACCTATGGGGCAACGAAACGTGCGAGGGATATGCCGAAATGGGGCGGCGGCGCCATGCGAACCCTCCCATTGAGGCCTTAGGTGGAGCTCCCTATGGGGTCGCGAAGCGTGTGAAGGGTGTGCCGACATGGGGCGGCGGTGCCATGCGAACCCTGCCACTGGGGCCTTAGTTGGAGCTTCCTTTGGGGCCACGAAACGTGCGAGGGTTGTGCCGACATGGGGCGGCGGTGCCATGCGAACACTGCCACTGGGGCCTTAGTTGGAGCTTCCTTTTGGGCCACGAAACGTGCGAGGGTTGTGCCGACATGGGGCGGCGGTGCCATGCGAACCCTGCCACTGGGGCCTTAGGTGGAGCTCCCTATGGGGCCACGATGCGAATGAGGGATGTGCCGAAATGAGGTGGCGGTGCCGTGCGAACCCTGCCACTGGGGCCTCAGGTGGAGCTCCCAATGGGGCCACGAACCGTGTGAGGTGTGTGCCGGAAGGGGGCGGCGTTGCCATGCAAACCCTCCCACTGGGGCCTTAGGTGGATGACGACCTGCCGCACGGTGGCGGATCTGTTTGTCTCCCCAGGTGGGACGGTGCGCGCGACTCTGCCGTAGACCTCGCCGTGTCGCAGGGGCGCATGAAGTTCACGCGGCCGATCTACCGGGCTCTCAAGGCCTACGACATGGACCTGGCGCGGGCGACCTTCTTGGAGCACAGGAGCTCAGAGGATGAAAAGAAACCGATGCCTCGTTTTCGCCTTCTCGGGCCTCCTGGGAGGCCCCCGTCTCCACCGCTGGATTCGCCTCGAGATCCTGGTCAGAACGCAGCCCCGGAGAGGTCCGGGGAGTTGTGGTTTCGGTATTAGATCGCTTCCCCAGGAGCGCCTACCACCCAATCTGCGCGAAGATGGTAGCCAAGGACCTCGAGGTCTGATGTTCGGCGGCGCGCAGAAGGGGTGCATGGGGCGAGGGGGGCAAGGTGACACGGTGACACCCCGCCTCTGAAGTCCCGCCTGCCCGCTGAGAAGCCCTGTCGGGAGGCTCCGAGAGGGGGCGTGTCCCCTGGCAGGAAGCACCCTCCCTTCTTGGAAGGCGGCCCTGCTCGCCCGGTGCCCCTCTCGTGCGCGCCGCCGAGACGTCCTCCTCTTCTTCGGATGGCGCAGTTTTCGATGGTGCCGCCGCTGGCCGTCGCCGCTGACCGCCTGCTGTATGCTGCTGACCGCGGCACTGGCGCTGCATAGGTCGCGCCGTCCGCAGACAGAGTTCGTCCCTGCCGGCAGGTGGTCTCCTCCTCCTCGTCCCTGCCGGCAGGTGGCCTCCTCCCCCTGGCCTCTTCCTCCTCCTCCTTCCTCCTCCTCCTTCTCCTCCGCCTCCTCCCTCTCCTCCTCCCCCTCCTCCTCCTCCTCCTCCTCCTCCGCCTCCTCCTCCGCCTCCTCCTCCTCCTCCTCCTCCTCCTCCTCCTCCTCCCTCCTCCTCTTCTCTCTCGGGTAAGTGCGACGCGGTCTGTCTGCGAGAGACTCCCGGCTCGGTGGCTGGCGGTGAGCAGCCCTCTCGTGGCGATCGCTGTCGACAACCCGTTCTGCATCACTGTCTGGTTGACACAGTGCTCTCGAGTATGCTGGCGTCTCAGATTCAGGAGTGTACTCAGAGCGTGAATTACCTACCCCGTTTTCGCTTCCAGGCAAAACCAAGTCATACCGCGCGCCTCCTCGTCAAGCGGCCTGACCAGTACAGGTCGTAGTTTGGCATCGCTTGGTATCTCTTGGAAGCGAGGGTGGTCAAAAGCGAGGTAGGTTTGTTTTCCCCCTAATGCTGGCGTCTCAGATTCAGGAGTGTACGTCGTATCAGGTTAGCCTCCCTGGGAGAATCCGGGCTTCTCGGTCGAAAGTGGTGAAAGGGCATCCTCCCGTGTGATCAGTGTTCAGATGCCTGCCAAGTCTGAGCCGATTGGTGTGTATCGCAAGTGCCCAGATCTGATGCAGGTTTCCCTCCCTCGTCCTGCCTAATCTGCCTGTTGTATTGTTGGTGACTGGAACTTCTTGGAGGTTGGGGGGATGTTCAGAACTGACGAACTTTGACTGGCCGGGGATAGAGACAGGCGGCTGCTTTTGCGTCCAAGTGTGGATGGTGGGCAGAACTCTATCAACCCGACCATGAACGGCGCAAGTCGCATGAGGATGCAGTAAAAGGAGTGGCGCGTTTTCATTGAACATACACCAGATCCAACGGTCAATATGAACACGGTCGGATATGCTGTCAAAGCAGGTGCCCTCTCGGATCACATCCTTGTGATTGCCACGATCAGTGTCCGCAATCCGGCCTCCACCCCGCAGAAGATACCGATGTGGATGTCGCTGCACGAGCTGTATCGTTGTCTTTGCTGTTCTGCGGTCCTGGAAATGAAGAATTAAGCTTGCTCCTCGGGAGCAGTCAACTCAGGTGAAGGAGATTTTCTGGAAAATGGATCCGCTATTTAAAGAAACGCTTGCGTGAGCGACCCCCGCGTTCTATCAGTGAGAAGTTGCACTACGTTGTGATGGCCTTTCGAGGGGGCAGGCCAGTATTGGCATCTTGGTGCTGCGCTGTTCTGCTGTTATGTTTGCCTACTTTGATCCTGATCGACAATCGTGCGCTGACCTCGACGGGCTTGGTTTGCTCGCCCAGTCTCTCAAGAACTCGGGGTATGATCAGGGGGAACGGGAGTTTGAACAGTAGGAGGAGGAGGAGGACATCTCGAAGACTAAGGTGGCGAATTGGCTACAGCATGTGTACCGGGCTTGGCCGAAGATGAAATCCGGGCCTGGCCGAAGATGAAATCTCAGCATGGCCTCTAGTGTTCTTGATATTGATGATGTTGCGCCTGCCCGTCCAGATGAGTCTAGTGCGGCCCCTGCCATGTGTCCCAAGTCTTTGTTGAGCTGACTCCTGGTCGATCCCTCCAGCCTGAAGTCCTGGAACATGGCCAACCAATCGCTCTGGATGCGACGAGATGGCCTTGGACGTACATGGGTTCGTGGAACGTGTGTGTGTGTGTGTGTGTTTGTGTGTGTTTGTGTGTGTGTGTGTGTGTGTGTGTGTGTGTGTGTGTGTGTGTGTGTGTGTGTTTCAAGCGGCACTATGCCGCGGGGGAAGATGGGATCCTGTATGGGTGTCGGCGGTCTGGAAGTGTTGTTGTCACTCTCTGTGTACCACGAGGTGTATCTGGCATCTGGTGGCACGGTCACTGCTTCGATGAGGCGTGGACGTATGTGTTTCCTTCAAAGGATGTTGAGGATGTTGACGGAGATGCGAATATTGTGGGGTTGTCCGTTCTACAGGGAAGACCCGACCCCTCACGTTTGCGAGCGCCGTGCAAAACTCCTGAGTGATGCATCTTCGATTCGCCTCCAGGGGGTGCTTAGGGCCACGATGGTTCCTTTGCATGGCGGGGATGCTCCTGGACGGTGTCCTTTGGGCAATGTGGTGGACATCCAGTGGTGCGCGTGTTATTGGCGCCGCCATGTTATTGGCGGCCCCATAGTATGCCGCAGACGGGCGAAGGGTCTGGAGCTCCAAGGCGATGCTCGTGTCCAATGCCACACAGATCTCGGACATCTTGCATACAGTTCTTGGATGTCAAGAGGCGGCATATTGAGATTCTGCCGTGCGGCGGCAGCGTTTTATATTTTTGGCGCAATCGGGCGGTCTTGACGAGACCGATACGGTCCATATGATATCCACTGGATTGAAAATCGTGTTTGGCATTGTACGGAGACTTAACTTCCAACGCGTACTTTCTGCACGACCGTCTGAAACTATTTGAGGCAGCTTTGGAACCCACTATGCTGCGCGGTTCGGCTACGTGGACGATGACGCCACGAATGGGGCACACCTAGCGGAGATGCCAGCGACGCATGTTTTGCATGATCCTGAGTCACCGTCGGAGGCGTATCCAGACGGATCGGGATGCAAGCAATGGGAGCAATGCAGAGAGCGTGCAAGTGAGTCACGAGCACACCTCGAACTACGGAACACAGAAACCGACCACTTTGGGACGAACGTGGTCGGTTTTGTTCTGGGAGAAGAGAAGGAAGGCGCAAACCACCCCCCTTGACGCATTGAGCTCGGGCTCCTGCGGGGGAGCCGCAGGGGCCTCGAGCTCGGAGAAGACGAGCGGGCCGAGAGGCACGCCCGTCTTGGGGCGCAGGCCCCGACGAGCCTGCTCGAGCATCGCCGTGATGGCTCCGTCCCCCCACTCCCCGCCCCCGCCGACCCCGCCCCCGACCTCTTGCACGTGCGAGACAGGCCGACCGACAGCCTATTGGGGCGCACCGTGTGCGCCCCGCACTTCACACAAATCAGCACACGATCTAGGGCCTGGACCTGGTGTCCTGGCCCGACCTCCTGGGGATCGCAAGCCCTGGACGCCAGCGACTTCAGCGACGAGGTAGTCGAGGCCTGCCTCCAGCAGGTTCGACAACGAATCGCGCCGCCCGAGAAGGCCACGACATCGTGATCGGTCGGTCGCCGAGGCCGTCGGGGCCGAATCGCGGCTTTCAGAGGCGCTCGGAGGAACGGGGTGGAGAGGCGGGCCACGCGCTCGGCCGCCCAGGCCAGACACCGCATCGTGTCCTGGGCCCGAAGCAGAGAAAAATTGTGGACCTTGACCACGGGGGTGGACCCAAGGAAATCGGCCGCAGCAATCTTGGCGAAAACATCCGCCCACATGTTTCCGAACAAATTCTCCAGGGGCTCCTGGGACGCCACGCAAGCATCAAACCCCTCAAGGACTGTGCGATGGGCCTTCGTCCAGACAAAAACAGGCCTGACAGGGTCGTTCCTATACAGCTCATGCATGCTCCGCCAGATGGCCGCGTGAGGCGCCCTGGCAGACGCATGGCGACCCTCCCAGGCATTCCCCTCGACCTGCAGCTGCAAATGATCGGTCACGTACGTGGTAGGCCTTTGGGCCCGTTGCAGGGCCTTGAAACCAGCCGCCCACTCGGCCCTGGGCACTGTCTGAATGGGGCCCCCGACGCTCCCGAACACAGCTTTGCACGGCCACAGGTCGGGAGTCAAGGCCACGGCGGCCCATCCGCAGCGCCTCTCCTCAGGGAGATCACTTTCAAGACGCGATCCGTCACCGTGCCGCCTCGACGGCTGTGGCAGTCCGACCGCTCCCCACTCGCGCTTGGGCCGAGCGCGCGCAGGCAGAGGCCTGAAGGCAGGCCTCAGGGGCAGCGCGTAGAGCACGTCCAAGGCCGAGAAATCCTGCACCTGGCCCCCGTCCTGCCACGGGGCTGCCTCCAGGATGTCCTTCCTCGTCCTGGCTGCGTTCTCAGGGTACGGCTCCGTCTCCTCATGCTCCTGCTGCTGGTGCAGGACCTTGCGCCCGAAGTGCTCGTGCGCCAGGGATCGGGATGCCGATGTTGAAATCGAACCTTGGGCGCGTTGACAGGTTGGCGGAAGCGACGCTAGAGGTTGCCTCGATCGGCTTCCCGAGTTGCTCTCTCAGCCGCCTTTCTAGTTGGCTGATCGCCCGACTGTTTCACGCCCCCAGGCCGTCCGCGGGGGCAGCCGATCCTGATGGGGCGCCGGCGGCGCCCAGCGCGGTCGGCGGCTCCCCCGCCCCCTTCGCGCGCCGCCGCGCCGCGGGCTTTCGACGATGATAGGGGGTCGCTGCGGCGGCGAATTTGTTTTGCCGTGCCTTCTTCCCGCTTTGGCGGCACTTTGAGATCTGGTTGTGGTCGTCGCTTCCTCCGTGCACTGGGGCCTCTCTTTCCCCGTGCGTGTGCATCCTTGGGGGGTTCTTGGCCTGGCTCGTGGTCTGCGTTGGTTTGGTCTCGGAGGAAGCTGGTTCGTTTGGGAACAAAGCGACGCCCCTCTGCGCGGCCAGCTATGTATGACTCGAAACCGGAGTTGTACATGGCTCAGGAATGATGTATACTTCAACAGTTGTCTACAACTCGTGAGTGATGCATTGTTAAGAACCACAATTATACATCAACCCGGAGTTATGTATAGCTCGGAAGTTTTTCATATCTCTGGAGTTATGCATCACATGGGGCCGCGGTTATGCATAACTCATGAGTTATGTATTATTCAAGATGTTTGTAGAGTCATGTAATACTCAGAGACGGAGTTATACATATCCCCTGAGTCATGTATTACTCGAGAGTTGCATGCAGTTCTGGAGTTATGCATTACTCAGAGCCGGAGTTTCGCACACTTCTAGAGTTATGTATATTTCGGAGCATGAG